ACCACCACCACCATCTCTACTGCAATATCAACAGAATCCCGCATTTGAACACCTCTACTCTTCCTGTTACTACTGGCAGATTTCTTGAAAGTCATATCAATGTGCTGTCCCCATTTCCTTGCCTCCCACTCATTCCTCTTCTCCCTCCAGCCTGACTTCCATTCCATAATGCCGCTAAACAGTTCCCGTTAGGTGATAAAAAAGTTCATGTTTTAATATACAATCGAATAACTATTTTATCTTCTTAGAAACTTTATGATTGATGGCTATTCCTTTAACGTAATATGTTTCTAGGTTTTTGTGACCCAATTCACTCCTGATTTTACTTGTGCCTCTTTAATTGCTCTTCATTACCCTCTGAAGACTCATCTTTCTCCATCCGTCACCATAGACTCTACTGAAGTGCCACATGACTTTTCTTGCTTGATTTTCTCTTCCTAGATGATTTCTTTCACTCCCAGAACTTTAGTTAGCACTTACACTCAGATGACTCACCAGTCTGTATCTTCAGCTTAAACTTCTCTCCTGGATCAGAAATTGTATATCCAGATATTTACCTAATATCTTCTGTATGTCACAACTTCATGCCTAACTCAACATGTACAAAATGAAATGCAAAATAATTTCTGCATAATCTGATCATATTCCAGTGTTCCCTAATACAATGTTCCCCTATTTTTTCTGTGTCACATATTAGAAATTAAAGCATCATCCTTGACACTGCTTTTTATTCCTCCCTTCACATAGGCAATCCACCACTGATCCTGTGGGGAGAATCTCCTACACAAGTTTCTAATCTAAACATTCCTCTCTTTCTAGTTCATTGCCATTGTACTTAATGGTACCAGCATCTCTCATGTAACTTTCTGCTATTGTCTTCTAACTGATCCACACTATCCTCTCTGCCTTCTTCAATTCATTCTCCACACTTGAGCCACAAAGGTGCATTTTTGAAATGCAAAACAAAAAAAAAATCAAACAAAACAACCACCTTTCAATTAGTTCCCACAGCTCTTAGGATGAAGACAAAACTCCTTAATTGGACTAATCAATCTTTCTAAACTTATCTTCAACTGTCTCACCTGTAATCCCTCTGCTCGAGCCATAATACCTTTTAAAATCTCCCCTGCCTACCCAGTTGCTGTAACTTCCTTTCACCATAGAGCCTTTGCATGTCCTGTTCTTTGTAAAGCTCTGTGTTCACTTGGTTAACTCCAGTTGAAGCAGCACTTCCAAAGGAAAGGAAAGGAAAGGAGAGGAGAGGGGAGGGGAAGAGAAGGTAGGGGAGCGGAGGGGGAAATGAAAGGAAGGGGGAAAGGAAAGGACAAAGAAAAGGAAAGAGGAAAGGAAAGAAAGTCTTTTCTGATTTTCCTATTGTACCCTCTCATACACTGTCTACTTTCTCACTTCTGGAGCACTTCTCACTGTTGCAATTTGGTATTTGTTTGCTTATTTGATGAATGTCAACTTCTTCCTATTGAACGTTGTGATTCATGAAGGCACAGTTATGCATATATGCCTACTCTGTGCCTGGTGCCCAGCACTGTAAGCACTCAAAAACACTTGTTGGATAAAGACTAAATACAGGAATTTAAGAAGAGCCAGCATTCAGGCTCAATACAAACTAGACAGGATAATAACATGCTTTAGACCAAGCTTATCAACATTATACGATCAAAATTTTATTGCTACTATTACTACAACTTCCAGGACCATGACTTCTTCAACCACTCTCACTGCTACTACTACTTCCAATAACACTAAGGGCCCACCAAGGCATTCACTGTGAACTAGTAAATTAAAGCCATGTTATACTCTTATAACTGATCTTAATAACTACAAATTTTAAAATGCACCAAAATCTTACAGTCTGAAGCATTATGGGATCCAGTAGCATTCAAATGAATGAAATCTAGATTATGACAATCCAAGGCTTAACTCAGAGAACTGCATTTCTTGGAGTGACTCAAAAGCTCCTAACCTAGGAGGAAACCCTGTCAAGTGAAAGTGGAAAAGAGGCAAACCCCGCACTGCTTATTATATTTCCACTCTTGTCCACAGCCTCAGAGCACTGAGACACACACAGAGACAAAATATTGTGAAAAGAGAACAGAATCCTTTCACATCTAGGCCCTTGGGGAACATGGGAACAGGATTTAGACACACACTGTGTTGTGAGCAGACAAGAGAGAATGATTCAAACGGCAACAGAAAAGAAACAGGAAGAGATGATCAACCCAAACACCTCAAGTCCCTCAGCATTTTCAAATTAGGTTCTTATGCACCACTTCAATTTGCATTTGTTTATGTACTACATAAGTGTTTGCACTTCAGGTGTGTTTTGCTTACCCAACTAGCTTGTAAACTTAAAGACTGCACAGGGGCCTAAGAGGAAAACTGTATAAGTGAGAGGAGAAGAAGCAAGAGAAGACTGAAAGAATAAAGGGTAAAAAGGAAATATGCTATTGGTTGTGAACCTGACAGAGCTCTCAGATGGCAATTGCCTCCTTTTAGTCAGCTGCCTACTCTGTAGCTCCACACCAGGCTAACATTTTTGGTCACTCTGTGGTGAAGGATTTGTTTCCCCCTTCTGTTTTGCTCTTTTCTATTTTACTCCCTTTGTACCCAGAAACACAATGCCAGAACCATTTCTCTAACACTGAGGCCATTGCTTTTCATCTGATTCAGATGACAGCAGCAAAGTTACGGTCAGAAGACTGGAAATTTTCCAACCACAAAAAGTATAGATATGGTGTCTGCCTCTCCAGTGATCTGCAGTTTTTAGTAGCTACAAGCTTACCTCCTTTGGTTCTCTTTATTCTAAGAAATTCATTTTCTTTAAAGGCAACACCATTCTCCTTTCTGGATAATATACTATCTGTTCTCCATTGCTGTCTTCATTTTGTGGCATCACATATTCTATTTCCTATAAAAGTTACATCAATCCATGTTGCCAAGTCTCAATGAAGGAAACACTAAGTCCTCAGTGAGGCAAGAGTATTGTTCACTGGTTCAGGCAGAATGTACCAAAAAATCTATGTATGAAGCGAAGGTCAACGTGTACTTGTGCTAATATTACATGGCAAATGTCTTACTGGGTTCCAAATGAGGTCAATATATAAAGAGAAGAAGCAGGGCTCATATGTAATCAGAACTGAGAAACAGAATTTGCTCAATATAATTAATACTACTCTTAATTGAAAACTACCATTTGCCAAACTCTTATCCTTTAGCAGGAACTATACATTTAAGTGCATTACACAGATTATCTCATTTAATCATCAAGCTAGTGATACCTATAAAGAAAGTACTATAATTATCCATATTTGTTATGTAAGAAACTTGAAACAACTTGGGAATGATGAAATGTATAGTAAGTGATAGAGCCAATGTTCAAATACAGGCTACCTGAATCAAAGTATGTGTAGCTAAACAGTGTTCTATGTAGGTCTTCCATTTCTCTTTACTTCAATCCCACTCCACTCCATCCTTAATTGAACTGAAGTGTGTGTGTAGTGTGTTTTCTGGAAAACAGCAAGGGAATTGGGCATTGTAAGATAGTAGTTGATAGGACCTTGGCCTATAGGTGGACTGTTCCAACAGCATATTTTTAGAGCAAGTAAATTATAAGACATGGAGAGGAGGTAATAAATCCATATCTGTTGCTTGTTCTGGGCAGCTCTATGTCCCCTTTAATATGATCTTCACGAGTTATTTTTTTTTTTTTGGTTATATTACCAGGTCACTTTGCCCTGAGACAGAACTAGTCCACTGCCAGTGCATTTTGCATTTGTTGGCTTTCACTTTCATTGTTTTCCATTAGCAGAAATGAAAATCATTTACTTTAGGGCCAGGTAATTTAGAGCAGGCATTATTATAATCATTTTCCAAATAGGCTCAGAGAATTTACACGATAGGCCCCAAGTCAAATTTATTTCTATTCGGAAAGGAGCTAGAACTTAAATCTAGGATTCCCGCTTCTAAATGCAGGCCTCCAGAGTATGTTGGTGTGAAAGCTGCATGGCGAGCAGCCTCCTTTGCCCCTTTACCTGCCCTAGACTAAATGTTGTATACCCAGAACCACTTTCATAAATTCACCCACAAATCTTCCCTCACAGTGAATAGCACCACCATTCAGGTGTGCATGCCAGATACCCAGTTGTCACCTGCAACTTCTTTCTCTCCTTCACTTATACTGCCCTTATCTTATATTCACTCTATGATCATATCTGTTTTATGCCCAATGCACAAAATTTGCCACTTTCCTTCTGTATCTACCTGAACTACCACTCTCTCTTTTCTGGGCTACTGAGATGGTCTCCTGAGTTGTCTCTACCTGCTTGTTCTTGTCCATCTTCACCTCATTTTCACGGGAAAGTCAGTATGATTTTTTTTAACAACACAAATACAATCAGCCTATAAATGTCATGCCATCCTTTTGTTGGAAATGCTTCTATGTCTTCTCATGGTTTTGAGATCAAAATAGAAACCTTTTAAAAGGGAATCTGACCAGGTCCAACATGATCTGGTCCTTACCTGCCTTATCCTTTAATCGCAGTACTGCTGTCCCATTGGCATTTTCCCATTTCTTCAAACACTCCACAGAGCTTCATGCAAGCTCTTTTCTCTCTCTGGGATTATTCACAATTCCACTCTGCCTCAGCCCCACCCCCTAAATTGTGTTAATGTCTATTCATTCTTTAGACTTAAGCTATGGTGTTAATTTCTCAAGGACAATTTCAATGGCCTCTGTGATGTGCTCCTTCACAAGACTGTTACAGTCTTTATTATTGACGCTTATCACTGCTGCAAGGTTACACTTATTTGCTTAAATGCTGTGGTCACTTCCTGTCTCCCTTATCAGACAGTGGCTCTTTCTGCTCAGCCTTTGTATGCTGAGCACCATGCCTAACCCTGCTTTTCTTACAAGGTACATTTGTTGAATGAGAAGGGAGCTGAGTGAAAGCATGTGCTTCCATCCGTCTTCCAGTTATGCTTACCGTGTGTCTGAATGAGAAGGTTGTAGATTTTAGTCTGCATGCCCTCTGGATACAGAGTAAGCATACACTCGTACCTTCCACTGACGGAAGAAGACATATTCCTTAAGTGCAGAGTCCATTTTGACCCATTCTCAGGAGTCTGTGTGAAGGTCACCAGTGACTCACAGGGACTCCCATAGGCACAGTGGAAGCCGTATTGGGGATGATAAAGAGCAATCAGGTCTGCCTTATCGGTGACCTTGGACCATTGCATCTGCACCAAGAAGCCTTTCGCCTGTGTTTGGCAGGTCAGGTTGACATCAGAGCCAAGTGTAGCATAAATGTTTTCTTCTGTGTTGACTGGTTTTCCCCAAACTCCTGAAAAGGAAGAACATGAGCTTTGAGTTTAAATAATTCACATAGAATGACTCTTAATTAAAAACCCTAGTCACTTCAGTAAGGTGAGGGGAGAAACTGAGGAAATTTTTCCCTGACTGCTTTAGGAGTAGAGTAGAGCTTGTGTCTGACTCAGATAGAGACGCATGAGACAATATAAATGAGGTAGCATTTACGTAGAGAAGCTAGAGGAAATTACTGACTTCTAAATATTTATCTATGTGTTGGTCTGACCAAAATATAATTGAAGGTTTCTAACTACCTGTGAATAAAATCAAGCCTATTTGAAAATTGAAGCATACTAGCAAACTTAGTATGACAATTCTTCTTACGTTTAATATAATTGGCTTTTTGGGTTATAAAACAACAGCTGAATATAATACACACGTGATGCTTTCTGAAACTGCAAAAATAAATGATATGTGTATAGCAATTTATTTGAAAAATACATGTTTACAAGGGCCTTTCATATGTTATCTTGTCTAATCCCCCTCACACGCCATAAGTGATGTTGTTAACCCTTTTTTATCAAGGAAGAAACTGGGGCACAGAGAGATGAAATGGGGTATGCTCAAAGTCACACCTCCAGGCCTGGTGCAGTGGCTCACATCCCTAATCCCAGCACTCTGGGAGGCCAAGGCGGACAGAGCACGAGGTCAAGAGAACCAGACCATCCTGGCCAACATGGCGAAACCCCGTCTCTACTAAAAATACAAAAATTAGCTGGGCGTGGTGGCGCATGCCTGTAGCCCCAGCTACTTGGGAGGCTGAGGCAGGAGAATCGCTTGAACCTGGGAGGCGGAGGTTGCAGTGAGCCAAGATCATGCCACTGCACTCCAGCCTGGCAACTGAGCGAGACTCCATCTCAAAAAACAAAAAACAAAACAAAACAAAAAAAGTCACACCTCCAGTAAAAGAATGAATTCAGTTACCGAGAGTTTGTGTCTTTCTATAACCCTCATAACTGTCGCAGTAA